GGGGGGGGGGGGACCCACCCCTTCCTGCCACTTTGCACACCTGTCAACTTGCATCTCAGGATAAAGTTCTCGTTTGACAGACTCTGAGGACTTGCTGTCCAGGCAAAGAAAACTTTATGACCACGAAGCCAACACAAACCTTATGTAACCAACCTGTCAGCAAACAGAGGAACAGAGGGACACTGGCAAATTCCTGGCCCCAAGAGAAACAAAGCAAAACAAAAGGGGGTAGAAAGCAAGGGATTGAGACGGGCCTAAAATAATGCTCCTGCCCCAAAACCCTTAAAATGGATTCAAGTTCTTAGAGTATTCTTAAAAAAGAGACAGGAATACAGCAAAACTCCCCTTTACCTGGGAATCTGAATTAACATTCATAGCTGTACTTTTAACTGACATTACCTCAGATGCTCCTCTAACCAAGAGTATATGTAATTGTCTATTAACAATATTTATTGTCCATGGGACTTACAAATGAGGACAGAAAAGTTTTGTTGTTGTTGTTTTTGACATAAGACTACGGGAAATTTCTACCTGGAGTGGCTTGACATGCTAGTGGGTCATAAAGAGTTAAGGAATCTCCCGGCCTCCCAATTGCTGAAGACATCCTCTGTGGACTCTCGCTGAGTAAGAGAACATTCTCTCTCTTGTCCCTATAGCAGACTATTTGTATATTGCCTGAATTTTGTGTTAAGAACCCAAAAGCCATAAAAACAATCCACTGAAATGAATTTGTTCTGTGACAGGCCCAGGTCAAGGCCTCCACAGTTGAGGGTAAGGGCAGAATTCAATGAGCATGTGGTGGAGACAATATACCGGTCCCTGGACCGCCTGACAGCTGGGTTCCCTGGCGGTAGCCCCATGTCTGCCATCCCTGGCTTCTTACCTTGGGCAGGTCATTCCCCCTTGCAGGTTTTTGGTCTCTTCCGACGTAGAATGCTTTCTATGGGCTCTTCCAAGTTCGAGCTCCCGTGAGGCTATGAGGAGCGTGGGGATTAGCTGGAGAAGCTGCCTGCGCCTCTGGGTGTGGGACCCAGAGCAGGAGAAGGAGATGTGATAACAGGTAGGAAAGCCCTTGGGGGGCAAGTCAAGGTGCTGACTGGCAGACACTCTCCAATTCTCCGTGGCACATTCCAAAACCACAGGCGCCTAACTTTCTTCTGAGGGCCCAGTGCTCACCCAGACACCCATCACTGAGCTGACAGGAAGCAGGAAGGGACAATGCTTTTCTGGTTGGGGACCGTGACTGGGACAGAAGGGAAGAGAAACGTGGAGTCAGCTCCCTGAGCAAGTGAAATGGCAATGAACCCTGCAGGCTGGTCTCCAGGCCGGCGTTGCCAAGGAGGACGATCCACTTGGTCAGACCTGGGCCAAGCTCTGGCTCGGACACACAGGCAAAAATAGAAAGGGGCTGAGAGGAGAAATGTGTTTACTTTTGTGATTTTCCCTCATGTGCCTTCTAATAGCATTATCTCTCTACAAACAGGCAGTAACAGCTCCTGGGCCTGGCTTCCATTGATAAACCCTCCCAAACAATTCAGTGCATAGTCAGTGTCTGGGCCTGTGGAAGGTGAGATCCGAAGGCAGCAGAATGGGGTAAAAAGAGCCCTGGCCCGGGGTCTGTCACTCACCAGTGAGCTGTGAAAAATCCTTCTCTGTGGCTGATGGAAATAAAGTGCTTACATTGGACAGAATCTAAAAATCTGCTTAGGTTTTTGAATCCTATCTGTGGTTCTCAGCCAGGGGACGATTTCACTCCTCGAGGGGTATTTGGCAATGTTTAGGGACATTTTTGGTTGTCAGGGCTCAGAGTGCTACTGGCATCTTGTGAGTAGAGACCAGGGCTGGTGCTGAACACCTGGCAATAACTAGGACAGCCCCCCGCCTCGGAGAAGTATCTGGTCTGAAGAATAGCGCTGAGGTTGTGAAATCCTGGTTGATATTAAAGTGAGAAGACTCAAAGGGAGAGGGAAAAGGGTTAGAAGGAAAGAAGAGGAAGGGTTGGAGCCCTGCTTCTAGGTCATGGGGTGTTCAAAAGCTAAGTGTCTCCCAGCCTTTCTCCCTCTGACCTCCGTCCTTTCAGTTTCCCTTGAAATCACAGGTCAAAGTTAGTTTGTTTTTGTCACAGTAACTTCTGTCTTATCCTTCAAATGCCAGGCCCCGGTGCACTCTAAGATGCGGCAGAAAAATACATAGAAGGGGCTATTAAGCGAGCAGAACCAGAAGGCAGGTAGTGGGGGCGCATGGAGGGACACAACAGATGCTCCCAACTCCCCTCCTATGGGTCAGTGTTTCTGATGTAGCAACAAAGAGTAATCTCCGTAGGACCAGTGAGACGAGCTCGGCTGCGAGCAGGCAGGACCGACCTGGGGCCCCTGGCCTTAGGAGAGATACAGGTTGCAGGAGACAGAATCAAAGGCAAAGGAAAGGGTTAAGCAATCGGGGCATGTCATCCCTGTGCCATTCCACATTAAGTCACCGGGCAGTTATTACAAATAGTTACCTGTGGTTTCCAGGAGGGAGGCGAGCACACTCCAGTCAAAGGGTTTGGGAGAAACAGGTGCAATGAAGTCATGGTCAAACAATTTATTTACTGTAAACTTTAGACTTTGCTCAGGAAAACAACTGAAGCTACCCCTGAAATCACTGCCTACAACACCCTGTTTCAGCAAATAAGAGGAGCCGGGAGAGACCAGGTTCACAGCTGTAAGGTCTGACATACTCCGGATCCTCTATTCCAAGGGTGCAGGAAGGCAGGTCTCCTTCAGATACAAATTACCAGCAGCAATAGATCACCCCTAATACTTGACCGATGAGGTAGATACGCAGACAAGTCATCAAAACACAGCAGCCCCAGGTCCTCTGGGACTGAAGCCCTTCAGACGAAAACTGACAAGTTCCACGCAAAGAGGAACCGCACTGTACACGAACAATCACTCCAATACGTTTTCTCTTTTTTACAGCTTACAAAAATAAAAAAGGGCAGGAGGATGGTCTTCCTCCCACGCATCTCTATACAGTTTTATTCTAGATTTATTACACTCAAGTTAAATAGTCTGTTTAGTGTCTTGCCGGGGAAGGGGGCCTTAAAAAGTACAGAGACCGCGTTAGAGCAGCGAGTCGTGTGTGCTACAATTCCTCCCTCGTGAATCAACGCTATCTTTAGGCACAGTACCTTGCCGGCTCACCAAGTCTTCCCTGCCGGGGGCATCCTCGCTCAGCAGCTTGCTGTCTTTCTCCTGCGCCAGGTGACATCCACTCTGCTCCCCCGTGTAGTCAGACTTGTCGTTGCTGTTGGAGTAGCCATTCCCATAGGCCTTCAGAGAAGACCTGCGCAGGCACAGGAGCTCCTGGAAGGCGATCCTGAAATCCGGGCTCCGGCAGTAGATGAGGGGGTTGAAAGCAGAGTTGACGTAGCCCACCCAGTTCAGAAGGGTGTAAATTTCCTTGGGGATGAGGTTATCCTGGACCACGTGCACGACGTTGACAATGAAGAAAGGCAGCCAGCACAGGGTGAACGTGCCCATGATGATGCCTAGAGTCTTGAGGGCTTTGTGCTCCTTCAAGCAGAACTTGGAGGACCTGCGGTGCCCATGTCCGCTCCTCCCGTCCTGCTCCATCTGGCTGAGGTTCTGGGCGTGGAAGCGGCCCTCGAATTTGTCGATCCTTTGGAGTTGCCGTTTGGCCACCTGGAAGACCCTGGAGTAGACGAAGACCATGACCACCAGGGGCAGGTAGAAGGAAACGATGGAGGAGGCGATGGCGTAAGCTTGGTTCGTGAAGAAGTCGCAGCAGGTCTCTTTGGCGTAGCACTTGATGGCCTCTTGGTGGGTGGCCCGGTACCAGTGCATCTGGATGGGCAGGAAGGAGGTGAGGCCTGACACGATCCACACCAGCAGAATGACCACCCGGGCCTTGTTCTTGGTCAGCAGGCTCTGGTACTTGAAGGGCGACGTGATGGCGAAGTAGCGGTCCACCGCGATCACGCACAGGGTCTCGATGCTGGCCGTGACGCACAGCACGTCGATGGAAGTCCAGAACTCGCACCAGAAGTTGCCAAAAGTCCACATTTTCATGAGGATGTGGCTGGCCCCGAAGGGCACCACCGCCAGGCCCATGACCAGGTCCGCGCAGGCCAGGGAGGTGATGAAGTAGTTGGTGACCGTCTGCAGACGCTCGAACTTGGCAATGGCTGTGATGACCAGCACGTTCCCGAACACGATGGCCAGCACGATCAGCGACATGACGATGCCCATGCCCACCACCCACGCCTGGTCCCGTTCCTGCGCCACGCCTTGGTCCGGCGCGTGGCTGCCGTTGGGAGCCAGCAAGAAGACGCTGCGGTTCCCGGGCTGCCCCATGGCGCGGGCTGCAGGTGAGCGCAGGGCTG